AAGAACAGCTTACAATGGAGCAGGGAGAGCCTGGCCTGTCACCGGGGAGAGGTAAACAACGCCTGCCAGAGGGAAACAGACGCTATCAGAAATCAATAACAGCGAAAGCACTGCTGGGAGAGTTACAGTTGGTTTTTAAACACTCTGGTCAGTCATAAAGGGCTGGCAAATATTCTCTGTATTATCAAATTCTATTCTGGGATGAACACCAGCCCCAGGGAAATACCAACCTTAAATGGTAACTGTGAAACACGGGGAAAGATTTAAATAGCTAAACTGGAATGAATCAGAAGTAAATACTGCCCCAGTGCTGATCTGAAGGGGGAAAAAGATTCCGAGAGATTACAATTAAAGCAGGCGGGGGAATGGATGAAGCAAAAGGCTTGGGTGTGAAATGGGGCACAGGGATTAATGCCACTACATTTTAGTGTAACTTATTCAGGTGTTAGTGGAGCTTCTTAGAGGAAGAAGAGGCTATTCCAGAAAACGGGATGAAGGAGGAAGCGGTTTTCTTTCTCGGTGTCCCTAGAAGGGCACAGGAATCAGGGTAGCAAATCTTCATCTTGGCAAGTGTGCAGACTTCTGGTAAATCTCAGCATGAGAGGCAAAATGTAATTTTAACTGTTCTGAGGCCTCCCTCAGGTTCCCCATTCCTTAGCTATTCCCAGCCAACGCATAAGAAACTCAGTTTTCACCATCTGTCTTATCGTCACACTGCATCCTTGCAGGGATGAAGGAAGAGTTTGGCTCCCAGCAGGAAAACCTCAACATGGGTGGAGGAGCAGCCAGCCAAACCAGCAATTTAGAAAGCCCTGGAAAGACATCAGCGCTGAGGGAGACCTCGAGCTGCCTTTGGTGGTACCGTGCACAAAGCTGCCGGACCTGCCAGTGCCACCTGCGGCTGGATGCTGAGGAAAATGCCAGCGGTCTGGCATCGCTGCCAGAGGGGACTTCTCAGGGCAGGGGCGGGCAGGGATACCCATGGTTTGCCCACAAGAAGCATAACTATGGCAGGCTGCTTGTCCCCCCGCGAGCGGCAGGACTGCTGGAGAATCCAATGGTTACTGAGATGGTGGGAACACAAGTGCCACCCCTGAGTCCCCAGTGCAGGGCTGCAGGCTGCTGGCTCTTCATGGTGGTGGCCGTGACTCCTCCCCAAACCTGATGAGACTGCAGGCTTGGGCAGGGACGCACAGTGCCCCTGTATTAATGGGAACGTGATGGCTTCCTACGCTGCATTTTAATTAACATTTTCTCTCCTTACACCCAAAAGAAATAGTTACTGTTTTACTTAGGCACTGGCTCTATTGTCCCTTTCTTTGCAGATGCAGTCATGGAGTTCATGGCAGATGTCCCCGGGATGCAGACTATGGCATGTCCCCCTCCCAACAGTCCCTTGGTGCCTTCCCCCAGTCCCAGCTAAGTTCTCACCTGCTGTAAAGATTTTTTCACAAAAGGCAAAGGCAGTCCCTGGGCTGCGCAGTTACCCATCAGACATCGCAGGGAAGGACCCAGCGCCTCAAATACCAAGCACACATGTGGCAAAGAGTCAGGGATTCACTAACAGAGGGAAGATGCCACTACCAGCTTTTTGCCCTTCACCAGAGCAGCCAAATATCTCCTTATCCAACCTCTCCCCTCCAGCCACCTCCGTGTGCCCCGGCTCAGCTACCGCCCTGCCCATCCTACCCACGGGGGCACAGCGCTTGGTTCTGCACCACCCTGCGGCTCTGCGAGGCAAGCCCAGGCTCTGCTGACCCAGAGCTGCAGAAGGATATGGAAGCCGTTCTCGCCAATCATTCTGAAGTCGTCTAACAAACAGACGATGTTTTCTCCTGCCTGGTCCTTCTTCTTCATACTGCTCACCTGAGGGGGAGGATTCCAAGAAAGCTGCGATTAGAGACATATATATGCACAAGGACATCTTGCACCCGTTTTATTTCATTCTACAGACTTTCAGGAGTTGGCACTTCGTGATAAACCCCATGAAAACATCATCAGGAAAACCAGGCTCCAAACACACAAGCAGTCTGTTACCAAGGAATGAGTTTCCATACATTGTCCAGCTCTTGACCAGGTGGGACCATCACCCTCACAGTGTCCACATAACTCAAACTGATCCTGCCAACAGTGTCTGGCACGCTCCCTGCTGCCTGTTCTATCCCAGGCAGGCCCAGAAAGTGCTCCTGCTTGTGCTGGAAGGGGACTCCCAAAAGACCACAGCTCACTGCTCCCAGCAGCAATGACTGTCCATTTCCTTTGCCCTTCTGCAGCCTCTGCTCCTTGTCCTCAGAGTAGGGATGGCCCTGTCCCTCCTCAGCTGAGAGCAGCAGGCTGGGACATCGCCTTTTAAAACCCACACCTTCCCTTCAGCAATTTCTTGCAAGGGGTTGCAGAGAGGCCAAGACCTTGTGGTTGTCTTCGGCCACTCAAAGGCTACGTGTCCTACTGGGCTAGAGAGCAGCTTCCGTGTCTGGAGGAACCCAGAGAAGTAGGCTTCTTTGGGATGAGAAAGGACTGGCTGTGGGCAATACTGCAGAGATCTATGAGATACGGAGTGGTGGTGGAGGGGGTGAGCACGGATCTTCCATACAAGAACCAGGAGGCATCAAACCCAGCACTTGGGAGGTTCAACAGCAAAGCAGAGGAGATGGTTCTTCATGCGTGGGTAAGCGGTGGCAGTTCTTGTCTCAGGGGCTGGGGGTGCTGAAGCCCGCGTGGGCTCACAGGAAAGCAGGGCGGGTCTCTCGAAGGTACATCCACCGAGAATTACTGCCCATGCAGACGTCACCCTTGGCCCAAGAAATCTCCCGCTGGAAACTGCTGTAGGCCAGGGGAGCGGTCAGGGGGAGCAGCACCCTGTGCTTAGCTTGTCCTTAGGCCTGCCCGGGTATCTGCTGCTGGCCAAGGGTGCTGGGCTGGTTGAACCACTGGTCTGCCCAAGCACGGGTGCTACGGTCCCCCCAGCTCCTGCACCAGCTCTGTGCGCCTGCACTGGTCTGGGTACAGCAACTCATACGTTTGGGTTTTCGTCTCCTCACAGCTGTAACCGTCAGGATTTTGGTTTGGCGCGTTGTGCAGGTGCCGGATCTGCCCGCACCAGCGGCAGGAGCTTTGTGTGGCACGACAGAGGTGAGCAGCCCTGGAAACAGGGGAGACCAGATCGCCTCTTCTGGCAACTCGGCAGGCACCGACCACCCTGTACTGGTGGGAACAGCCCTGGGAACCAGCTGTATTCTGCTGAATGGGAAGGCGTGTCTTTCAGAGAGAATTAGTGATAAATCAAGAGTAAAGCTCGGTCTGCATCCAGGATTGTGCTGATGTGGAGAAAAGCAGCCCTCTGATTACATTAATTAAACTAGTGCCACTTAGCACTTCCTCTTGCGTCACTGGGGCTGGCTCATGTCCCTTTGGACAGGGCCTATAGATTCACAGGTGTGAACTTAACCTTTCTCAAACCTGTTGGAGAAAGGCCTCAGAGTAATTTGAAATGTGAAATTTAATGGCTTTTACTTACCTAAAGCTGACGTAAATTTGTATTTAGGCAAACTCGAAGAATTGTAACCATGAGATTTCTAGATCTAGCAGGTCAAGCCACCTTCAAAGTCAACTAGCTGAGACCCAGATACAGGCACCTAATTACCACATCCATTAGCAAAGGCAGGAGGAAGCTTTCTGGCTTCAGAGGTTTGTTAGATTTTTGCTACATCCCGCTTTTTTTTTTTTTTTTCTCAGATGTTTCCTTTTACCTCGGTGTCAACGTTGTGATAGAGCAATGCCCTCTGAGCTGGGAATGACACAAATACAACGGACACACTCCCATCTCCTGCTTAAGAACTTTACCACCTTTTTCTGTTGATTATCTGCCTTATCTTTCTGCAGGTTCCTCCTATTTGCTGGATTTTGGTCTCAGCTGAAGGAAATGGGCTGACAGGGCAGCCAGCATGTCCCACTATGACAGGAGGAAGGAGAAGGTGCCTGCTCAGAGGGCAGTGCTGAGCCAGGGTGATTTCTATGAATTCCCTAACTTTTGGGGTTTTTTCTTTTTCCCCACCTAACTCCTCAGACCTGGAGAGAGAAGGGATGATGAGGCTCATACTCAGACCCCAACTCAGCGGCCATCCCCGCGAAGCAAAGCACAGAGCCCCAGAATATACATACGCAGCGGAGGAGAGCGACCTCGTCCTGGGCAGCCTCGGCAAAGCCTTCCCTGCTTTTCAGGACCTTCACAGCGACCTGCTTCTTCCTCCTGGGAAGCGAAGCACAGCTGCCAGCCAAGGCGTGCCAGAGCGGCCCTAACCAGCAGCACCTCCCCTTCTCCCGGTCACCCAGCCCTGGGCTCCCCAGGGGGGGTGCTGCCCTCCTACAAGCAGCCTCGCCCTCGGCGTGCAGCACACCAGGCCTGTGGGCATCCTTCCCGGCGATGCTGCTGGCCTCTGGCAACACAGCTATCCCAGGGGCCAGCGAGGGGCTGGAGAGGAAAAGGCAGAGCATGGACCCCGCAGGGTCTAAATGAGAAGAGCCAGCGCAGAGCAAGGGCTGATCCCACCTCGTTTATGTGCTTTGGTTTCCGGGGACCGGCCCTGCTCATTGCACCCCACCAGTCTCGCGGCCAGGTTTGCCCTGTGCTTGGGGGACGCCGATGTGCTCCGGGGCAGGTAGCTGCGCTCTGCTGCTTCTGCGAGAGGGGCCGGCCCTGTCCAAGAAATCAGCCACCCCTTCCCACCTCCCCAAAAGTCGATCAGCCCCTCACCTCATGTCCTGGCACAGCCAAACAGTGGCAAAGGCGCCGCAGCCCAGCTTATGCAGAGCCTGGTATTGCGTGTTGAACACCTCTCCTTCCCGCACCGGGTGGTGGCCTCCTGTGGGGACCATCACCGAGAGACGTTACTGACACCTCTAAGTGCTCTTAAACTGAACGAGCAGGCGAGGACAGCCGTCCTCCTCGAGGAACAGCCAGACAGGGCCCAGCGGCCTTCTCCGGCCGGGCACGATCTCGGCTCTGGAGCTGCACGCCCGAGGACTGACCTGTGCACTGGGCTGCCGGCACCTCCTCCTGCGCCCGCTCCTCCATGGCCCAGTGGCACAGCAGATCCCGGCACGGGGGGATGGAGCAGTGGGAAACCAGAGTGGTGTGACCTTCAGCACCTTACACCTTCAAAGAGGTAGAGAGCTGCAGGCAGCCGTACCCCTGCTGCGTGCTGCGCGCACTGATTCCCTCTTATACCCCTGCTGTCCCTGTGCCCTCTTCCTTCCCATCCACTTCATCAGCCCCTGGAGCTGGGCTGTCACAAACACTTTTGGCACTTGATGGAGACACAGATTATTTTAAGAGTTCAGAAGAGGAATGCTGGCAGGCTGGGGCCGGGCAGGGATCCTGGTGCTGTGCCGTTCGGCCAGCGCCAGGTGGGGGGGTCTCAGGTTTCCCTGGGCCCAGTGTGAATCTTCAGGGGCTTAGCAGGGACAGTGGGATCCCCTCCTGTGGCCACAGCCGGGGAAAGCACCAGCTCCCCGTCCCCGTCCCAGCCGAGGGGGGGACACGTCTGGGGTTTCGGTGGCAGGAGGAGCCTCACGCTCCAGATGGGTGCGAAGCAGAACCTGCACCTTAGGCGCTGCCGCGCTGCACATCCGTCTGCAGCCCAGCCCGGGGCTGGAGCGCGGGTTTATCACTGACCCTCCCGTGAGGCCCCACGAGAGGCTGCGACAGAGAGGGAGGCTGTTCGCAGGGTTTGTTACTATGACAGCCCAAGGTACAAACACCGAGACAGCACAGACAGACTGATGCAACTGCTCTCTCTCCCTCCCCGCAGCACCAGTGTAGAACTGGCTTCAGCACCCGTCACCTGAAATAGCAGCCCAGAGCCCGTGTTACTAATGGAAATATAGATGTGAGCTGCTGTAGCTAGGGTCCTCCCAGCCCAGCCCTTTATAATTTGGAAGTGTCACTTGCTGTACAGCCAAAGCTCCAGGTTAACACGCTTCACCAGAGCTCATGATGGGTGATAATAACCCCAGCAGACCATTAGCGTGGGTAGAATTCTTGACCTTTAAATCCTTCAAATCGGGTCACTAAAGCTAGGAGCTTGTCTGCACCGGAGGATTTTCAGAAATAGGTATAGTGGGCTGGCGGCGGTGGTGGCCGTGGGAGCCACGTGACAGGGAGTTGTTCTGGGACAGAAACATCTTCCAGGTGCTGAGACGGAGGCTGACTTCCTCAAAAGACCAAAGTTTCTTTCCACGCACTGATGCTCCTCTCCCAGCACTGCAGCCAGAGACGCAGCCCGCCTTTGGGCACCCAGCAAGGTTCTAATTAAGGGTCAGACTGGCCTCGAGACTCTGATCCTGTCAGAGACAACTCAAATCGCCAGAACTGACATTGCTTCATTCACCTAAGCCCATACAGCAGCCTGGAAGGTGCTCAAAATCCCTCCCCCTCCTTGTATTTTTTACACCTCTAACCGTAAGATTTACACTGTTCAGAATCAGCCTCTTTTAGGCATAAGCCTCCAGGATGCTGCATGTCTGTATGGCCACTCTGTTCAGCAAATACTTACTAATACCTTAGCTATGAAACACAGATGAAATAAAAATTTTTGTTGTTTGTGCACAGACTGAGCACATCAGCAACCTCGCAAGCTCCTGCACCACCAGAATCTGCCCAAGCCCTCTTCACTCACACCATTAGGACAGCAGGGACTGACCTGAGAGCCAGGCAACAGCCTTAAAGACTTTGTTATGGCGCTCACCATTCACCTGCCAAAGGAAAACTCAAGCGTGTGGGGAGACGCGAGTTCAACGGCATCTTCCCTAGGCGGATTGTTACAATTGACAGGAGACTTCGGTGGGAAATAGGACCCAAAGACAGACTCAGAGCGTAAAACACATCCCAGCACTAGGGCTGAGGGAGCTGTTGGGCAGCTCACCAGCCCTGGTGTCCTCCTTGCTGCGGAGGGTAGGCAGGCCTGTCCGTAGGGCGCGAGACTTTACCTCCATCCACCCTGGTTACGTGGATGCACCAGCAAAGGATGTAGAGCTATATCCTTGGTACAGGAGAGGGAAACGTGCTCGTCTAAGCTTTGGGATAAAGGACGATTAATGCTTTAACATCCTTCAATGGCTTGACATCTGTATGTTAAAAACAACTGTTTGTTTGCTTTTGTCATTCAAAGCTACATTGTGCAGAACCTACCGGCTTGCTGCAGGCCTGGACCAGGTCAGAGAACTTCAGCCCAAAACCATCCTGCTCCTGCCTGGTCTGCGAGAGCCACAGGCAGGGAGCGGTGCCTCTGGCCTGGACAACTCCACCTGGCCCGCACGGAACAGCGTAAGGAGCTGCCCACCACCCGTCGGGCCTTATAATGCCTGGACCTCTGGAGTCGCAGAGCTCACCAGAGCGACACGCACCTGCATCTTCTGCACAAGCACAGACCTGACAAGCCCTCGCTGAGCGCGGCATCCCTGCAAGTCTCGACACGCAGCGTAAAAGCAGCCCCGTCGGCGCGCGGGGCCCTGAGCCCCGGGAGCCCTGCACAGACTTACCGCCCAGCAGCTCGCAGGCAGGGCACACCGCTCCCTTGGTCAGCTGGCTCATTCTGGAGCTCCCCAAAGTGAGATACCAGCTGGTCCTGCTCTCCTTTTAGTCTGCGCTGCCCAGGAGGGGTGTCCTTGAGCAGACCAAGCTCTTCTGCATCGCGGTGAGGAGCGGGGCAGGGTATCGGATCACGGCACCACTTCTGGGAACAACCTTGGCTTTGGGATAGCAGGAGACCTAGGACAGCTGCGCTGGGTTCACTTTACTGCTGGCCTCTGCCTGCCTCCCCTGGCAGCAGGTCCCTCAGCCTGCAGCAGCGCCACAGCAACTATTTATAGAGGAAAATTCACAGCTCTGCTGAGATGGAAACAGAAATCCTTCTCCTCTGCTGCACCGGCCCCAGACCCAGGACCCGTGGGGCTGCCCAGCACTCCCCACTGCTCCCAGCAGCGTGGCGGCAGGGCTCCTGGCTCGGGTTTCCACTGAGACTGCAGAGCCCAAGCCCCAGCCCTGAAGCAAAGGGTTAAACGCTGCTGAGCAGTGGCTCTGCTGCAGATCCAGGCTGCCAAAGCGAGGTCGGGGCCTCCCGGAAAGCTTCTCCCCTTCCCTGTGCCCCTCTCCTCTCACCTGCCTTCCCCACACTAAAAATAAGAAGGGAGGGGGCCGGGGCTGAGCACAACCACAACCTAACCCCTACAAGGCCACCAAGAACACACAGAGGGGCGAGAGGAGGGACTAAAGCAGAGACATCACACAGCTGAGAGGGGGGAGAAG